CACCAAAGCTGAATATATTATAGTTATAAAAGTAGTTAAGAAAGCTATTTGGATTCGTAAATTTCTAGTTGTACTACAAATGGTTCTCAATGTTGTTGAACCAATAATATTATACTCGTGATAACAATAAAACTATAGCATAAGCTAAGGAACCAAGGTCTCATCAATAATTTAAACATATATTACGATGCTATCATCTTATTAGAGAGATTATCAATCGTGGTGACATCGGGATAGAAGAGGTCCACACCGACGATAAAAAAATTGATCCCTTAACTAAGCCTTTATTACAGCCTAAAACATGAGACCCTTACTCGATTGTTGTGATTAAATGACATAGTTGGTTGGCTCTAATGTAAGTGGGAGTTTGTTTGTGTAAGTGCCTAAGATCCAACTATGTTTGGATAAATTTGAGTTGTTGTATTATTACATCATCTATTTTATTAATAATAAAAATGTCTTTCTATTAATTCTTATATCTTATATTTATTTATTAAATAAAATTATATAGAAGTCCATATGATATGCATTTGTAATAATGATTGATCAAAAGATGTGAGACAAATACTGATGCACATAAATAATATTATTAAATGTCTCAAGTTATAGCAATATCAAGATCCAATCATGTTTGGATAAATTTGAGTTATTGTATTATTACATCATCTATTTTATTAATAATAAAGATGTCTTTCTATTAATGCTTATATCTTATATTTATTCATTAAATAAAATTATATAGAAGTCCATATGATATGCATTTGTAATAATGATTGATCGAAAGATGTGAGACAAATACTAATGCACATAAATGATATCATTAAATATCTCAAGTTGTAGCAATATCAAGATCCAACCATATTTGGATAAATTTAAGTTGTTGTATTATTATATCATCTATTTTATTAATAATAAAGATGTCTTTCTATTAATTCTTATATCTTATATTTATTTATTAAATAAAATTATATAAAAGTCTATATGATGTGCATTTGTAATAATGATTGATTGAAAGATGTGAGAAAAATACTAATGCACATAAATGATATCATTAAATGTCTCAAGTTGTAGCAATATCAAGACTAGACATTGACTATATGTAGATAGAATTTTGAGTGTTATGCTTATGTTCTATGATAGTAATAAGAGATCTTACACTTATTGGTACGATGATGCAAAAGCAAGCGCTTAGGTGATTAACGTTAGAGAACATATCACTCGGACTTGACTCATCATGATAACCTATTTAGTTTAGTCTATGAGAATCTCATACGAGATGGGTATAACTAGTCCTTAAACTTGAAGTCATCATGATTATCTTATTAGAGGATTTGTGTACCTTGATACTCATTTCGATGGATCCAGTAAAAGGTTGCATATGGGTAATTTGTTTGGTAAATGAAGAATCTAATGAAGATAGATGGATGACTAAGATATGACTCATCATTCCTTATATGATGAAGGCGTTATCACATTGTACTTCGATGAATGTCTACTTAAGAAATCTATGTTCATAGTAGGAGTACATCAATAAAGAATAGTTGGTTTACTCTATGATTTAAGACATTTAAAAATTAAAAAAAATTATGTGATCATAATCGAATAAGATTAATAGTCAAGTTCAAGATCACATTATGATAAATTGACATAAGGATCGAATTATGTGGTAAACATGCTCATGAATGGTACTTACAAATTAATTAATCCTCCTAGAGAATTAGGTAGTTATGATGCCTTGCTAAAGGTCAATCTTGAGTTATGAATCAAGAGATAAAAGAGGTTTCTTTTATTCTTGATACATTATCAACACATCTAGGAGCCTATTGAGTCACACACATAAGTTTAAGCATTCACATGATTAAAGAGAAGCAAAATTGTTAGAAAAAGTCTCCAATTATGAAAGTTTCCTATCTTAGAAAAGGTTTTCAAAAATAAAAAGTTTTCTAAAATAAAAAATATCCTATTTTATAAATCAGTTTCCTAATTTGGAAGTAAATAACTTAAAATGAAAATTAGATTCCTAATTTAGGCTTGCGGGTAATTTGAAAAATGAACGTGAGCCTTCTAAAATTATCTAACTTATTTTACTTGGATAATCCAAATTAATTAATTGGATCAAAATAGTTTTGGGCCAATGGGTTTAATTAAAAGCCTAAAAGATATTTTGGTAGAAGGATAAACATAAATCTTATTGGATAATGATAAATGTTTTATGGACAAAGATCAAAAGTCCACATGTTAAAATAAATCCTAATTCTTGGAGGGTTAGGAAGCAACAACTAAGAGTCCAATTATGACTAGTTGTCACTTTTTCTTGTCCTTGGAGTATAAGGAAGTATCTACTATAAATATGTGAGAGAGAGGTGAGGCAAAGGAAGATTTTTAGGGAGAGAGAAAATTCGACACAAAGAAAAAAAAAGAAGGCACATGACATCAAGTAAAAAAATAAAAAATAGTTTTCTCCTACAAACCCTAGCATACGCCACCTTCTCTCTCTCTCCTTGGGTTGTCATAAAATTGCCCCGATTATATTTCTATAGAAAACACTAAACAAGTAAAAAAAGGTAGAGCTAGCACTCTACTAATTTTAAGTTTTTTTTTATGGGTGTTTGAATTGCGTGGATTATCGAGAGAGGTTGGACACTTGAATGACTTTTTTCGTAAAGGTTTAAATCGTGCTATAAAAGGTGATTCTTATTTAAAGCTTTAATTCATGAATATATGGTTAGTTAATTCAACGGTATAATCTTTGGCCCTTTAGATAGAGAAATGTTTTTATTTTATTTTGCATATCCATAGGATGCATGATCCTTCATAACGAGCCATATCCGTTAAACAACGAGTGTTGAAAGCATGAGACCGAGGATTGGACCACACCCGAGTCTCAAGCTCGATATCAACAAGTATCCCGAAACAACATGTCGAAGATGGATGATGTCGATGCTAGTCCACTTAGGCATATGAGGGGTTCATCTCTTTGATTGAGCATGCTGAATGTAAATCCTAGTATCCATTGTGTTATAAATAAATTTTTATATTTATTATATTTCATATTATTTTATTTATTTTTTTAGCATTATAAATTGAGTTGTAACCCAAATCCTTATAATTGTCCGTAACCACTCACAAGCAAAACTATGGGTCATTTGTCGATAAGCGATCCCAAACAATAATGATAAGTTTTTTTATTTTTATAAATATGCATCTATCAATATAATCTAAAAAAATATTTATGATTTAATATTATAATTATTTCAATGATGTAAGAGCACGTGCGATCAATGCAAGAAGTAGGCTGCTAAGGAGTAGTATAAGGGTGATTTATCATCTCCAAACATCGACATGACCAAGATATGTTTAGATGCTATAGGAGGAAAGAAGAAGAAGAGAATGTATGGCTTTGGATCACAAGTGTCTTATTTTTACTCCCATTCTAATGTTGGCTCCTCATTTGTCACTTCATGGTATCATGGTGGTAATATTTAGGAAGTTTACGCTCGGTACAAAGATAGGATCAAAAGGATGAAGATTACAATCCAATAACAAGCTCGTCAATTTAACACTCTACAAAGTCAAATGCGGATAGTGATAGGGTTGTTATGGAACTTGAAGCAGACTTGCATCTCTCCTATTAACCCTCCAATAACCCAAAACTCAATCGTTTCTCTTAATATCTAATAGTTGAAAGATGATAAATGAGATTATGAGAACTAGATTTCTTATTTTTTAAAAAGGTTTCTAATGTTTTCATATACCTTGACACATTATATATTTATTTGATTTCAATTTATATTATTTTAATTTTATTAAATAATATATCGTTTCAATAAGGTGTTATTTTTAGTTGTTTGTTACTACCATTAACATTAAACAACTATTAATATATATATATATATATATATATATATATCTTCATTTAGTGTCAAATTAGCATAAAAAACTAAACCTATTTACGACGAATTTAGTGATAGATTCGTGAGAAATTTTAGCAAGTATAATTTAGCAATAGATATTTCATCGGTAATTAAAGACGAAATTAACAAATTAGTGATGGTCTTATGATAGATAACGGATCAAAGAGACAATTGTTTACTTTGCTTTAGCAATAAAAATTCTATGCATGAGCGATGGTTTAGCCTTTGCTGATCATCGATTGAAAAAAAAAAAAAATCTCTCTAAGAAAATAGCAACGATCATATTTTCTATTGAAACATTTGCTACTGAAAGTATATTATCACAAATCCATCGTTAATGGTAAATAATGATGAATACCGACAATATAGCTACGAAAAACTACAACACTAGTTTTTGGCTTTTTTTTGTAGTGTCCATGGACATGCAGCAAACAAGTTCATTTACACTTGACATAAAAACATTCTTGACTATCGGTAATAGTTGTCGATAAGAGTTTGCGGTGAGAAGAATATCCTGGAACAAATATTTTCTCCATACACAACAACGAAAAATGAATTTTCTCCACTTAAAATCACTAACATCAACAAAAAGATCAAAAAATTACCAAACCACAATAAGCGAGGGAACCAAAACATAACAACAAGTACATACAACCCCACCAATCAAACCAATCGCCCAATACAAAAGTTCTTAAATAAAACATGCAACCCACATCACAAAATTAAAATTCCATCATTTCAAATCCAAAAAAATGACACAAAACTAAAATTAAAATTTGATTTTTTTTTTTAGAGTTTCAAATTAAATACTTGAAAAACTTTAAAATTCAAATTAGACAAGATGTCGACAATTAATGTTGAAAATGCTTTTATTATTATTATTCTGCTAATTAAAGATCAAATTATATATTAATTGATCAAAGTCAAAGAAAAAAAGGTATAATTAAGTTTCTTTCTTTTTCTATTGTCCCTCCAAAATTGAAATAACTTAAGGATATTGATTTCCTAGGTTGTACTAATTAATTGTATCAACCGAAAGACTTAATTATTATTTTTCTTAATTAATTAATGAGATAGCTATATGTTTTATGCTTCATTAGTTGCATCATCTCTATGATTAATGTTCTTCTTCTCATCTTGTCCACCCCACCTCCTCATGCGTTCTGCTGTTTTTTCAACTCTGTATTTTATTTTATACAAATAAATAAATTATTTATTATTTATTTATCTCTAAAAAAATATTAAAAGAAGAAATTTTTTTACCTCTTTTTTCCAGTTGGTTTTGTAGAGTACAATCAAAAGCAGCAAGGTCTGCAAAGCGAGTCCCACCTAGCATCCCACCCCATACTCCCTAGAACATGCATGATGGTGATGATGATATATATATATATATAAAATTAATTAACAATAATTGATTATTTAATTAACTTAATAACATATATATATATATATATATATATATATAGTACGCACTCGAACTCCCAACTTTGCTTTGTATCCAAGAAGGTAACCAAGTGGCAGCCCAAAAACATAATAACAACCTATGTTGATGTAGGCCACTAGCGCTTGCCACCCACCACCAATAGCAACACCTGCATATATGTATGTATCATTAGAAGGCATAAATTAATGATAACCTAGCTCGCTAGCTAGCTAGGAGTGTTCATTCGGTAATTCGGTTCGATTTCGAACTTTTTTGATCGATTTTCAATTAACCGAATTGTCTAAAAAATAACTAAAACCGAATCGAATTATTATTCGATTTTTCGATTCGGTTTTGAAATATATCATTTTTTTATTCAATAATTCGGTTTTCACTTGTAATTATCTATACTTTTGATTTTTGAAAGGATCATGCACCTTCGAAAAAATAAATTTAGTATTTGCATTGCGATTTTAGGCTATGTTCCTATGTGTATACATTTTTTAATCTCATTGAACTTTGTCTATTTACTATTATTTTACTACTCCTCAATAGACATTACTAATATAATATCAATTGATATATATAGTCAAATATGTCATCATTATCATATAAAGTCTAATAATATATAATATATGTTATTATATATCGGTATCAATAAATGATACTCGTCAAATATGTGTTACAATTAAGATATTTTAACAATTCCTTCTAAAAAGAAACAGAGCATGCTTTGAAGCTCAAATATAATCGACTTATTTGTCTTTATGAAAGACACTTTTAATTAACTTGACATAATTAGAACTAATAATTTTAGGTAACTTGTTAAACACTACAACCATAAGCTAACCTTTTCTAATTAAATGGCAATGTTGTTTTTGAACAATGAAGAACATTAAAACTTTAAACACTCAACTTTCTTTAGCGTAATTTTAAATTATATGTGTTTACTAAAAAGAGACATATTAATTATTATTAGGGTCTATAAATTAACTAGTTTTCTCTTACATAGAAAAAAAAAAAACACTATCTCACATCTTTTTTTTTAAACTATAAATTGAATCAAGAAAGAAATTATATACCTTCTTGGGCAATTATAAACAAGAATTGGTTATGGTCATTTGGTGTTGGGCCAGTTGGCTCATGTAATTAATGCAACAAGAACTGATTATGGGTTGGTTGATTTAACTCCAATTAGCTTAGGTTTGCGTGAGGGTTGAAGTGAGGGTGTGAGGATTGGAATGAATGACGTCGTTCATTGATGAATTTTTTTAAAAAATTAATAATTTTGGTTATTCGGTTTTAACAGAATTAAAAAAAAAAAAAACCGAAACCAAAACCGAAAGCAGGCTATATTTCAGTTTGGTTTTTTTTTTTTTTAGTTTCTAAAAAAAAAAAAAACATACTAAAATTGATATTTCCATACGGTTCGATTCGGTTATTCAATTTTTACCGAACAGTGAACACCCCTATAGCTAGCTACTTACCGGATATCACTGGCTGAACACTGTTAAGAACCATGGTGATACCAAGAATGAATGCTAGTTTGGAGGCAGCTACTCGCATCACTTCGCTGCTTGTGTAAAGGTAGGCAAAGTAGTCCTTAGCTATCAACACAACAGCCATGCAAACCAGTCCAATCACAAGAGACTGAAATACAGTCACATAGACCGAATATTTCGCACCTTTTGGATGCCCCATTCCAAGCTCATTCGACACACGAACGCTGAAATTAATATTCTGTTTATTAATTAATTAACATTCATGATATATATATATATATATATATATATATATATATGAAGGAAATCAATCAATCTATTACCTTATAGCAGCATTTATTCCCAGGAACAACATTAGTTCAATCCCATTGATATTCAAGCTGACCAAAGAATATATTTGGAAAAAACAAGCACAAGTTAAAATCAAGCTAATTTATTTAATTAATTAATGTTATTAATGCAGTGTGGGTGAAGATGACTGACCAGATGGTAAGGGAACCAACAGCAATGACTGCGTTACTGAGATGTCCAGTGAGAATAACAATACTCATCATATACCAAATCTCCAGGCAAAGCATGACAGCTGAAGCAAGTGAGAGGGTAAGAAAGGACCAAAGATCCTTAAATGCAGACAGACTAAATCCACGCCATCCTTCTTTACACCAACCCATCACGTACACAGCTTGAGCCAAAGCAATTGTCCACCCGGTCAGGTCAAAAGCGATTGCTGCGCCAGTGATACCCCAATCAAACTCATAGATGAAGAGCCAAAGCCACAAAGCATGCAGAAGGAGAGCCCCAGCGGCAATACATGTAAGTACTCTAACCTTGCGTTGGGCCTGAAGGAACTTTTGGGTTGGGAAATAGATAGCCCATGAAAACAAGTAAGGTATGGTTTGCAGAGTGAATTTTCCAGCAAGGTCAGAAAGATCAGCTTCTTGGCCAACGACTTTGAGTAGAGGAGCGGCGAAAATGTAAATGGGCAAGAGGATGACACAAGTGACGAACAAGATGATGCATGATCTTTGCAAGTAAACACCAAGCATATGAACTTGACCAGCACCAAAAGCTTGACCACATAGGGTCTCGAGTGCACTCCCCATACCAAGAAGGAAGCCGAAAACGAAGGTAACAACGACAGAGAGGGAAACGGAAACGGCAGAGAGTTGCAAGTTTCCGAGATGGCCAACAAAGATAGAGGTTAAGGTGTTGACACCATACTGACAGATGAGAGTGAGGGCAATAGGACCAGCAATCTTCCATAACTTGACAGTCTCTTTCCAAAACAAAGACTTTAAGCCTTTGAAGGTCTTGGAAGCTCCAGGCAGGTAGTCTTCTTCTTCCGGAAGTGGTAATGCAGGTGAAGATGGTGATGTTGGTTCATTATTGCGCTGCAGTAGTGGCGTGGTCTCCATGTATCGAATATGAATTAGCCTGCAGCTTGGAGGTTAGGGTTTGGAAAGTACAGTGGGTATACAGTTAGGTAAAAACGTAACAGTCATGTACTATGCACACACAGAGTGAGGAGTTATGAACCTACGTGCTTGATTTATATTCACATGATATAGAGTGGTTGAGAACCCACTCAGTGGTCAAATTAAGCAGTGAACGACCAGTCAAACCAGCTGTAGATGCGTGATAAATAAATATCCTAAGAGAACTACAGATACCAGTCATTATTGGTGTAAGTCGTAACCAACATTCCATTCTACTTAATCGGTCTATTTCTAGGTTTGCAACTACTTGTGAACTGATGATCAACCCAACAAACGACATAACAAGAGCTTTCAGAGGTGGAGAGTGTAAATATTAAATAACATCAATGATAAATTAATTAATTTTAACGACGTTAAGATTTCTTGTTTTGTAGATGATGAAAATTTGTTAATACTCTGGGTATGCTTGAAATTAATTATCTAATTAATGCAAACAAACAAAAGGTAAAGGCAAACTTTATTGATGTCTAGTATATATATAAAACATAATATTGTAATCAATTAATTCTATATTCATCTCTTTCATGTCATTAAGAAATTAAAGATGGAATATTTAATTTTTTTATTTTATTTTATTGGGGTATCTCTATTTCATATTAGATAAAAGATTAATCATGTTCAAAATGAAAACAACAAGGTTTAATTTTTGTAACAATTGTAATTTTAGGATTCGAACTCTACATATTGATAGAAAAATTCGTCCGAAATTTAACTCGCATAATACTATATCAACAACTCGTTAGTAGAGATAGGATACTTAATTTGTTCATTTTTGAAGAACTATTTAGTTGGGTGAAGTGTAGTCTTCACATATTGCATGTATACCAATCTATCAAAATTAACCACTCTTGAAATATTTGTTTGCCCAAATGCTTGCTTGTCTATATATCACTTGTGTTGACTACAAGATTATTTAACCCAATGTCAAGATTCCTGCAATTGACATATATAAGTAGCTCAATAATTTTTTTGAAACATAAGGAGTCAAGTAATTGTGAAGTCTTCTAATCCATCTTATATGCCTTTTAGCTACAACAATATATCCCTCCTTCATCCTAATGTATCAAGTGTTCAATTTTGTATAAATTCCTAAACTACGTGGAAATGGAATGTTAGACTCCAAAACTCACTCTTTTTTCCTCCATAAGGACTAAGATCGATATAGCTAGGGGTATGTGTCAATGTCTTCTATTGCATTAATCTTTTCCCGTATCCCTTCCGTTGTAAGTTCCGATATATATATAGGCTCTTTAACATAATTTGATTTTGCTTTGAGATTCCTTCTTGTTAAAGCAGTTCTATCAAGCAAAACATCTAAGGTTGAATTACTTACAAACTCGACGAAGTAAAGGATAAACTCAATCCAGCTCGTTTCAATGTAATCTTCCTCTACCGATCGGACTTAGGTCGAGAAAGCTATCTTGGATCAATGAAAGAAGCTTGTCAAATATCCCACCAAAAAAACAATGAATTGAATGTAGCTTGTATTGTTGTCATGTTGTGTTGGTCTTTCCTTCATCGATAGAATTGACTCTATTTAGAATAATTCGATGAAGAAGATATTCATGAAGATGATCGACTACGAATGGCCACCAATTAATGGACAAGCTTGGTTGCATTTTGCTCAAATGTTCTTTGAACATTGAATATAGTCATAGACAGTAGGTGGAGCAAGAAATAACCTTATATTTTATACAATAACCACATCGAAACTATTTCCTCCTCTATGTACCTTAGCCGATCATCATAAATAGATCTTCTCTCATTGATGCTCTCGATCAAGAATTCTACCCGTAACACTAATTAATGGTGCATCAATTATATTATCTATGGAAAAGCTATATTAATTTTGGCAACATCAAGCCATATTCTCCTCTTATCCGCTACACCCATATTAGGGTAAAAACTTGCTGGAAAAGCAAGAGTTCTATTTTCTCGGTAATTCGTAGTAACCCTATAATTAAAATTATATAGCACCATAATTTTTCACATTTTAAACATGGATTTAACCCTATTTATTTGCTTTAATTATTTGATTATTTTCATTAAATTCATGCTTTGATAAATAGAAAAATATCTTATTTATTTAAAATTTTAGTTTTCCGTATGAAAGTGTTAAGCTTGCGGTGAGGTTTGTATATAGAAGGAAAGGGAAGACAAGTGCAAGGCGGAATGAGGATGGGCTGAATTTAGAAGAAGTGGGTCGAGTCGGAGCATGGCGGTAGCTTCAAGGATGGACTAGGCTATTTTACTTTATTGTTTGTTTCCTTTTAATTTTGAGTTGTTATGCTCATTACATTGTTGATTTGTAGGCTATTTATGTATTTTGTTTGATGATAACAACTTGTCGGTTTCTAGAAGAGATGAGTATTGGTGTGGGGTTGGTTATAACTCGAATTAGGAAGAATATATACGGGGTAGTATTGACATAGATAGGGGACCATGAGAGATTTTGTGTAATTTTAAGGTGACATTATTTTCTAAAAGAGAGGCAACCTCTCAAATTGCTCGTGATATTCCTTTTTCTAGTAAAGTGTTCTATCATTTTGGTATCAAAGCATTGATCCCTTATGGGTAATTCCCATCACTTGAATGGAGTCACGACTAGAACGAGTTGAGAATGAGTTGAAGCAACTCGCTCTCACTTAGGGTTGAAGTCACCGAACCGACAACATCCATTTCGACTATGGCACATCGGATGGAGGAGACATTCCAAATTGTTCTTAAGGGGCAAGCTATTAGGGCCGGTAACCAAGTCGAAACCAAGCATAACTTATAGAGAATCCACGTTTGTAATGGAAAGTTCGGTGAAGGCTTTATCATTGGCATAAAAGATTATGAAAAAGGATCGCTAACCTAGAAAAATCGATCTCCTAACTTTTAGAGAAGAAGATCCAGATGCATGGGTATTTTGTATGGAGAGGTATTTGGCTATTAACAAGCTCTCCGAATCCGAGAACCTTGAGGTAGGGGGTGTGCACTTCAAAGGAGAGGCACAATCATGGCTAAGGTTTAAAGAGAAGGTAGAGCCTTTCTCTTTATGGGAGAAGCTAAAGTTGTAGATGCTTCGGAGGTTCCTTGGGCTAGACGAGGGGACGATCATCTAATGCTTATTCTGTCGTTTGCCAAACAGGTATAATGACCGAATATCGTGCCTAGTTTGAGATGATAGCTACAACGAGTGGGAAAGATGGAGGAACATTACATGATTATTGTGTTTATTAATGGGCTAGATGAGAAAATTTGAGTAAAGCTTACCGTCCTTAACCTTATTGGTCCTAAAAAGACAATGTTGGTCGCATCCTAGGTTGAAAAAAAATGAACTACTTAACCCAAAGCCTATAAATAAAAATAAAAAAGAGCTCCCTTCTAATCCAACCCGAAGTGAAACCCAAACTATAATATGGACTCTTTCTAAAATTACTTGCTCAAATCTAACCCAATTCAACCCTTTCTCTAATAATACCGTCATCATAAAAACTCCAACCCTAACACTCGTTTCTTTCTCACTTAACGATTTGAACCCAAAACCACTTAGGCATCCGCCATCTCTTCCTCATCTTCAACCTCTAGTACTAGGGTTACATGATTGACCACCGTGGAAGCTTAGGCTCATAGAGAGAAAGGCTTTCGTTATCGTTGTGATGAGAAATGGCACCTAGGTCATAGGTGCAAGAATAAGGAGCTTCAAGTTCTCATGGTTAGTGAAGAGGGGTAGAAGGAAGACGCACATACCTCATACGGAAACTTAAAGGAACTATTAGTACTTGAAGGGGTGGAACTTTCTTTGAGTTTAATGGTAGGGATATATGCTCTTCACACTCTAAAGGTGAGGGGAGACATAAGAGACACGAGAGGTGGTAGTATTGATTGACTATGGGGTGACACATAATTTCATCTCTAGGAATGTGATAGGTAGATTAAGATTGCTTATCTTGGGTATTATAGGTTACTCTATTATAGTTGATAATGGAGAGAAGTTGTATGGGTATAAAATCTACAAATAAGTGGAATTGAGGCTACTCAAGTCGACTATTGTCGAGGATTTTCTACCTCTTACCATGGGAAGTGCTAACATTATCCTTGGGTTGGAAAGGTTATCCATGGTGGGGGAAACCCGAGATGATTGGAGAATGATGACTATGACTCTAAAGTAGGTAGAAAACATATTATGCTCATAGGAGATCCTAGTTTGACATGGGCACTAGTATCATTCAATTTATTAAGCAAATGTGTGAGGGAGTAAGAGGAGGGATTGTTACTCGAAACTATATCGTGTGACAACGACTCGTTATTAAGTGGTCTAGGAGAATTAGCAATTGATTTACAAGAGGTCTTGGAGGAATTTAAAGATGTGTTTAGTACACCTACGGAATCACCACTCGAGCGTGACCATGACCATGCCATTGTGCTCGAAGGAAGGGACGAGGCCAATCAAGGTGCAATCATATCGATACCCTCACATTCAAAAGAGTGATATTGAGAAATTAATGGCTGAAATGTTAGTCGTTGGTGTAATATGATTGAGTAACGAGTCCCTTTTCAAGCTCGACGATTGATAGTGAAGAAAAAGGATAGGAGCTAGAAGTTTTACATAGATTATCGAGCTTTGAACAAGGCTACCATATTAGATCATTTTCCCATACCCAATATAGATGAACTATTAGATGAATTACATAGAGCTAGAATCTTTTTAAAGCTAGATTTGAAGTTAGGTAACTACCAAATCGAGTGTTCGACCACAAGATATACCCAAAATAGCCTTTTGCACTCATAAGGGGCATTATGAGTTCCTTATAATGCCTTTTGAACCGACCAATAAACCGATGATGTTCCAAGCCTTAATGAATGTGATCTTCGGGAAGCAAATTCGAAGGTATGTTTTGGTGTTCTTCAATGATATTCTAGTCTATAGCCCTTCCGTAGCTTAGCATTAGCTAAATTTGTGTGAAATCCTAACCATTCTCCAAGACCCAAAACTAGTTGTCAACTACAAAAAAGTGCTATTTTGGGAAACCGTGATTGGAGTATTTAGGTCACGTAATCTCGATTGAAAGGGTAATGGTTGATCCAAAAAAGTGATACATATGAAAGAGTGGTTGAGGCCCAAGAACCCAAAGGAGTTGAAGGGATTTTTAGGGCTTACCGGATATTATCGATGCTTTGTTAAAAATTATGGAAAGATGGTAGCTTTACTAGCCCGACCTTTAAAAAAAAAGGCTTCGTGTGGACAAAGAAAGCCACCCAAGTTATTGATAGCTCGAAACATGCTATAAAGATTGTGTCTATCTTAGCACTTTCAAACTTTGATGAACCACTTATGATTAAGACACATGCATCCAAGGTGGGACTTTGAGCTATTTTATCTCAAAAGGGATAACCCATTACGTTTTATAGTCAAGAACTAATTGGGAGAGCTAGATTGCGATCGGATTACAAGAAGGAATTAATGGCTATTGTATTCGCAATGCGAAATGGAGATACTACCTCTTATGAAGGCACTTTATAGTACATATCGACTAGTGGAACCTTAAATATCTATTGGAGTAGTAGGAGGTTGTATTGGAATATAAAAAATGGTTGATAAAGTTGATGGGATCGTCCCGGAAAGGACAATTGAGCGATTGATGTTGTATCTCGAATTCCTATTACAACGGAGGTACTTACTCTTTCCACCTCGAGTGTTTGTTAGATTGGAAGAGAATTGAGGAAGGGGTAAGACAAGACCTAAAGCTGTCAAACATTATTCAAGCCTCGGAAGTTGATCCGTCGATAAAACCAAACTGGAGTATTGAACAAGGTCATTTGAGATACAAGGATCGAGTAGTCATAGCTCAAAACTCTCCACTTCAAGCCTAGTTGTTAGAAGAGTTCCATTCCAACCTTATGGGAGGACATATGGGGCTTTTGAAGACATATAAAAGGCCGTCCAGCTAGTTGTTTTAGGAAGGAATACGATCGAATGTCAAGAATTTTGTTAGCTTTTGTCCAGCTTGTCAACAAAGAAAGTTTGACACCTTGTCTCTTGCTTGTTTGTTATAGCCCATACCACTACCTCAAGCTATTTTGGAAGATGTTACCATGGACTTTATCGAAGAGTTACTCAAGTCTTATGGTTATGACACTACATTGGTGGTGGTGGATTGTTTGAGTAAATATAGACACTTTATTTTACTCAAACATCCCTTTATAGCTAAACAAATAGTAGAGGAATTTCTAACTCATATGGTTCGGCTTCACGTTTTCCCATGCTCTATTCTATTCGATCGAGATAAGATCTTTATGAGTCATTTTTGGAAAGAGTTGTTTCGTTTTCAGCAAACCCAACTGAATATGAGTACAACCTACCACCTATAAAGTGATGAGCAAAGTTAGGTGGTGAATCAATGTCTTGAGGCCTACTTAAGATGCTTTGTGAGTAGTCGACCAAAAGAGTGGTCTAAGTGGGTTTTGTAGGCAGAATATTGGTATAATACCACTTACCACTCCTCTATTAAGTGTTCCCCATTCAAGGTTGTCTACAGAAGGAAGCCACCCATCCTAGTAAAGCATAATTCATCTCATTTAATGGCTAATTTCGAGCTGGAGGAATTATTGAGACAACGGGATGAGGCACTTATGGAATTACGCAATCAGCTGCTGATTGCTCAAAACCGTATGAAAAAAATGGCTGATTAGCATTTTCTTGATATGGTGTTTAAGGTGGGACATCGTGTCTATCTTAAGTTGCATCCCTACCGACAGAAATCCATGACATGGAAAGTGAATGAGAAGTTGGCTCCTTGCTTCTTTGGCCCTTACAAAGTGTAACAAAGGATTGGTCTGGTGGCTTACAAACTTGAACTATCACCCGAGACTCACATTCGTCCGGTTTTCCATGTCTCCCTATTAAAAAAAGGCTATTGGAGACACAACAGTCAGCCAGCCTTTGCCACAGATTTTCAATGATCAAATGAAGTGGAAGGTAAAATCTGAGGCGGTGAAGAAGGTCGAGGAAGGGAAGGAAGAAAAGGAGATTCTAGTCAAGTGTAAACACCTATCGATTTTGAGTCCACTTGGGAAACTGTCTCACTGATTGCAGAATAATTTTCACAGTTTCACCTTGAGAATAAGGTAGGTCTTAAAGGGGGACGTAATTTTAAGCCTGTAGTGAGGTTTGTATATAGGAGGAAAGGGAAGACAGGTGCAAGGCAAAATAAGGATGGGCTGAATTTGGAACAAGTGGGTCAAGCTGGAGCAGGGCAGTAGCTTCAAGGCTGAACTGGGTTGTTTTACTTCAGTATTTGTTTCCTTTCAATTCCAAGTTGTCATGTTGGTTACATTGTTGATTTGTACGCTATTTGTGTATTTTGTTTGGTGATAACAATCTGCCAGTTTCTAGAAGAGATGACGATGGTGTGGGGTTAGTGACAACCGGATTGAGGAGAATATATATAGGCTAGTACTGACATAAGGAGGAGACCATGTAAGATTTTGCGTAATTTTTGGGTGACATTATTGTTTGGGAGAAAGGCAGCCTCTCAGATTGCTGTGATATTCCTTTTTCTAGTAAAGTGTTATATCAGAAAGAGAGAATTTAGTTGGAGTTCAAATGTTGCAAGCTGCATAAATTAAAATTAGGCATATCTATTTATTCTGATTTTTCTACTGAATGGTTCTATGTTTGCAAGCAAAATGAAAATAGTTGGTAGTCTGATATGCACTGCATAAACCATGAGAAGGATACCTTTGAATTGGATAGGAAATGACTCCAATCATATAGTGTTTTTAGACTTGCATAATACTGGTTTATGAGGATTTAGTGAGGTATAGGAAACTTAAAAGATGAAAGATTGCGGCTGTTGGGAGGATGAAGAGGAAAAGAGAAGGTTAAGAAGGAGAGAAAGGGAAGGAGATTTGTGTGAAGGCCGATGCTCTCGTTCTGGATCTTGTCAATCCCTTGCTTGATTGTCTTAGATCCCTTATAGGAGATTTGTGTTAATGTAATAGGACTTCGTATGCATGGTCTATTTTCTCTTGTTTTTTAGCCTTTCAAGCTTTAAATTTAAGCATGCATATCTTCTTGTTTATAGCACAATTTGTAGAAGCATTTATTTCCATCATGTCCATCAAAAAAATAATTAAAAAAAAAAAAATCAAATCCACTTCAGATACTGCTTTTATTTCAAACAAGTTACGGAAACTACAAACTTGAATCGTATTGGTAAATATATCACTACAACCTTAGCCACTATCTGTCACAACCTCTCTTCCAGAAGGTTGGCTTTGCCTGGAATGGCCAACAAACATGAAAAAGAAAAGAAAGATAGACGGACGATGACTGTGGGACAGAGGGCTCTAACAACTTTAAGGCCCCATGAGGTCCCAAGTCACAAAAAATAAAGCCATCACATTTTTATAGCCTGTATTCCATATCTGACTTTGTTTTGTTTTACCAATACCTAAACGTGGAGTAATCCTCCATCTGCTGCACCCAACTTCCGTTCATCATATATATAAGTTAGTCAACCGTGACTCAACTTCTCTACTTTTAGATAGATTGTGTGTAGAATATTGTTGCTGCCCATTTTGCTTCTGCTGCTGCTGTCGCTGCCATTGTTGTTGCTGCTGGTGCTGCTGTTTTTGATGGTATAAAAAATTAAGCCGTGCTACTTCTTTCTCTAGCACATCCTGCTCCACTGTTTTGAACAACAAATGATACTCTAATTGTATTGTCCAAATTAAATATAGGGGCCATTGTGCAGAAAGTAATGATAAAAGTGTAGGGGGTCATATCGAGATACTTACGGTATTTTGCAAGTTGTTCCTGAGATAAACTATCCAAACGTTGCCTCAAGGCTCGGTTTTCCATGCCGAGTATGAGAATTTGTCGATTTAGATATTCAAGATTGGCTGAAGCTTGAGATCCTTCAGCCTGCGAGGCAAACAAGAAAAATGTCAAATCCTAAAAGTATTTGTAAATAAAAAGAGGAGAGTTGATTAAGTGACCCTAAGGAAGCATCAAATTCTGCAGCCAGCTTGCCTCTAATATTTTGACACTTCTTTCCAGTTCAGCTATATATTGAAGTTTCCTTAAGCGTGAACGTTGAGCAAATTGCCTGCGTGATTCTAAATAAGTTAGAGCATCCAATTAAAATACAAGAATTCAGTTGCAAGCAAAAATGGGCATTACTTAATTGTATACTTACTGCTTAGCACGCTTGGAATCTGTTTTCGATGAAGAAGGTTTAGGATTAATATCCGATGAAGCTTCTAGCACTTCTTGATTTTGTTTTACAATTGGTTTCAATGGCAAACCTACTCCTGGTTCTTGTGGAGCAGAGTGTTGAAGAGTAACGCTATCCCTTGAAGGCACAACTCCAGTGGAACCGCTGGTCATAGAAATCAGGGGCGATTCCCTGGGCTTTTTCTTTTCCTGGTCAGGAGGAGTAGAATTCGAATGAAAGCTAGTTTTCCACGAATTTCCATGATAATTAATTATCTGAAATTCCCAAGAAGGTCCACCAGCTGCAGCACTAGTTTTAAGCTTGGTTTCTTCTTTCCTAAATGTGTTGGTTCCTGTGTCCAGGAATGCAACAGAGTCACTTGATGAACGTCGATGACCTTTGCACAGAGGTGAGTCTGGCTCATCATCCAGGAGTTCTTCAAGCCAAGATAATTGCTGAATCAGAAAGCTATCAGAAGAAGCGCGCTGGTGGTGCGACTCTCCATCCGTGGGCCTCGAAATGCCAGGTGAAGATTCTACTGCAGAAGTAGCGATGTAACCGGTACTGTAGGGTGGAAAAATCATTTCATAGGGGGTTCCAGAAACTGCTGGATTCTGTCTTGGACCAAGGACAGAATTTTCCATATCTTGAGCTCAGGAGCCTGTAAGAATTAATATGTACGAGGAAATATTACTACTACAAAACGAAATGTTAAGAAACAAAGTTAGGGTTGCATTGTTTTGTACATAATTTGACATGCACCAAGAAAGCTATCAAAAGAGCTGGAAGACCTGACAGATTACTCAAAACCAGAAACATTAAAAGAAATCATTTGATTTGATGTAGACCACATTATTTTTATAGAACAATATATATAGTCAGTTTCTTCCATAAATTCTTGTGTTTCTTTTAAAATAAGCAAACAGCCGAAGGTTAAAATTGAAAAGGCCAATGTAGAATAGGTGTAAATGGAGGTGGATATATATAAAAACGTAAGAAGAGAGAGATAACCGGTTGGCAGGATGAATGAAGTGTTGATGAAGAGGTAGGTAGCCGGGCCGCAGAGGCGTTACCAAAAGATGAGGTATGTATGTTGGAGATTTGCAGTCAGCCCCATTGTAATTGATGATAGATTTAGTCTCAACTCTACCCTCTCTGTCTCTCTCGTGTACAAGAGAGAGATCAAAGAAAACAAAAATAAAAGAACGTAAGATTTGGATTTGATACCCAAAAAAAAAAAAAAAAAACCCCCCAAAAGCGAGCAATGGACTAACCGCATTTTGCGTAAACAATTTGCTACTAATAAAAAGGAACATGCTCGCTAATCATGCCATGCAAAAGGGAGGGAGAGAGGTCTGGCACTCTGGCTGGCTGCCATCTGCACCCTCCCTTCAATTTAAGCAAACCCTATTTATCTGCTTTAATTTGGCTCTCACTTCTTTCCATAAACACTGCCAAGTCGTGTAAATATAGTCAATACTAAAAAAGAAAAAAACAATTGATCTGTATTCCCTGGTAATGAAAAATTGTGATAATGACAAAGAAAGAAACGAAGCTGTTAGTTAGTTAGGGTTTGCGAGGGGATAATAACAACAACATACAAATGCAATTAAATTGATCGAATAATTAGAAGAGGATTTGTTGGAATTAAATTAATAAATTGAGGAAGAGGAAGAAGGAGGAGTTACGGCAAGGACATTGTCGTGGGAGTAAAAGTGACAGAGGAGATGTTTGGAAATGGAAGATTTAAGCTTGGAGGCCAATGCTGATTTTCTCTTCATCTTGAAGGATGCCGATGAATATGATCCCAATTCCTCCTCCTCCGATATGATCCCAATTCTGCCCATTTAAGAGTAGAGCTGATCTTAGCTTAGAAGCAGCGATTAGCGATGCGTATTAACCAACTGCTACTACTAATCTAATACGACTGCTTTCTTACTTTCTTTCTAAATTCTGAATTCTAATAGAAAACCAAAACCATTTTTCTTCTCATTGCTATTGTTTTCTTTCGTTTTCTGTATATGTATATGTGGGCCTATTTTCTTAAGTCTGTTTCTTTAACGAACTGATTTTCTTCTTACAGGATGGAATGGGCCATTGATTCACCATCCCCCTATGTTGGGCCCGTTACTCATTCATCCATCTATATCTGGGCCTAAATGCTTTCGTTACCAGTTCTATATAATACGTATGGGATGAAGGTGGTTAGGGCCCAGTAGCGTTGGACTAAAATTAAACCAAAAGTGGTTTGAAAAAAAGATCGGTGCCTGTCTTGTATAGTAATGAAAAAAAGTTTTTTTTTTTTTTTTTTTTCCAAATTTTCTGAATGTGTTTTCATTTTCTGAAAGAAAATAAGAAAACACGTCATTTCTCAAATTTCCTTGACATTTTTCTTAAGCAGAAAATCGAAAAGGTGTTCAAAATATGTACAAAAATTCAATTTCGGGGTCTCTATTGCAATCCTCCACATATTTCTTAATTAAATTATTTGATTATTTTCATTAAATCCAGGTTTAAAATGGGGGAAAATTTTGATATTTCTTCCAAATGTCCCGTGTTCCATTGCATTTTGTATCCCATGAAAACTACATATTTTGTTTTAAGTTTGGCTCCAAATTGAGGGTTGTGTGTATATATATAATCATCACTTTCAAATCTTAAGCAAATAGGCATGGCAGTGGATCGCATCTGGACAATATGAAAGAGCGAGATAAGATAGCCGTTGAAGAAATTTGAATGGGAGAGATAAAGATGCGTCAAGATTCCGAGAATAATGATGATGATGATTATTATTATTATTATTATTATTATAAAGAATGTTTGCTGCTGCCCCTACTACGGAAAAAAAAAAAAAAAAAGTTAAAAGAGTGAGTGGACCTCACCACATAGAGGAAACGACACTACGCTACACACCAATCCATCCAACGGCTACATGCTCTGCTCTGCCCGGATCAGTCCTCTCTCTAACGGCTCTTTTCTTTTCTTATTTTAAACATGCTACTACTACCGCTACTTTTTTCCTTTCTTTCACGGATCTGCCCGCTTGCCTGCTTCTCCCTCAAAAAATTTGAAATGCTTCTCTCTCTGGAATATTAATTATTACTATAAATCCCAAAAGCAGGTAATTTTTTGAAATTGTTTGTATTGTCTCTTTCTTGGACAACGTTCCTTTCTCTATCTATTTCAAGTTTAGCAACACAAGACAAGAGAGAGAGAGAGAGAGAGAGAGGGACGACACACCACCATTCACTTCATTAACATTTTCTTTTCCTAACTACTGACTGGACTATAATGAATCCATGCTTCAAATAAAATCCCTTTGCTAGTCTACCTCTTGTTTTTGCTCTAAACCCTCTCTCTCCTTCCCTTAGATCAAATCTTTCTTTCTTCTATTGGGTCACCAATCATGGGTGGTTGTTTTAGCAAGAAAAATGAAGTTTCTTCTTATTCTTCTTCTTTGAATGCTGCAGCAGCTCCTGCTTCTCTTGCTGCTGCCTCCCAACCAGTTCTAAACCGCCCACATAATAATAACACTCTCCAACTAGACAACAATGAAATTAAAACCAAGAGCACGGTTGTTGAGGATAAGGAGGTCAAAAAACAAGTTGTAGAAGAAGAGAGCTTGGTCAAGAAAGAAATTTTTGTCATCAAACACAGGAAGAGCCATGATAGAGACAAACGCACCCCTCCTCCCGACGTCAATGCCCCACCAGACGATGGCCTTGCTGCCACTACTAATGCATCCGCTGCTGCTGAAATGTTATTGGGCAACAGCGACACCAATGATGCTGCTAATCATACGGTTGTGAGGACATCAAGCTGCACAAAAGAAGAGGTAGATGCCATTCTCATACAGTGTGGGAGGCTTAGCCGCAGCAACTCTTCTGGAGCTGGAAAGCCTCTTTCTTCTGGCAGAAAGTACTCCGGTTCCAAGAGGAGTTACGACTTTGATAATAATAATGATCAGGACCAGGATGTTGAGTCTGCCACTTCTGCAGATCATTATGATTCTGGAAAGAAAGGCAATGATGACGACGATGGCGAGGTTACAGCGGAGAGAAGGCAGCATCGCCAACGCCACCGCCAATCCAGCAGGCTTTCTCCTTCTCCTTCTTCGCAAGGGAGGAGAAGGACACCCAGCAGGGAAAGAGACCAGAACCAGCGCTCCGGCAGCAGAGAGAGGGGCAGTGGTAGCAGTGGGAGAAGGGTGAGTCGATCCCCCGGTAGAAGATCCGAAACAGCCCAAAACACAGGCGTTAATGCTAACAATACTGGTGGTAGTACTGGTAATAGGCCTGGAAAAATGGTATCGGTCCCTGCAACTGTTACTTCTTTAGTGATGGATAAGAGCAACAATGGCGTTGAACCACAAGCAACGGCTGGAATTAAGCGGGTCTCGGTTAAGAGAAATGTTGGCGAGGCAGTGGTGACAGGTTCAAGGACCGCTGCATCACCACGTTCCAAATCTCCTGCCAGAACCAATGCTAAGACTTCCAATGAGAATAATCAGCAGCCATCTCTTAGCCGCAGCAATTCAAGAAAAGCAGATCAATCTCCTTACAGGAGAAACCCATTGAGTGAAATAGACCCCAATTCCCTACCATATTCGCAACAATCTGGCAACAAGGCTACCTGCACCAGCAACAACAGAGCACAAATCAGAAACAAAGATATCGAAGGACAACTGGTGGCGAAGGAATCTTTCAATCTTCTAAATCAGGTATTGCTTACCTTCCAACGCATAATTTGTGGCTATAGGAGGAATGCATTATTTTCACCGTTACAAATGTCTTTTCTTGGGCAATTGCTACTAGCTAAATAGAGTAAAACTCCTGTTTCTGGAACATAAATTTTGCCTTTATGCTTCTTTTTCAGACTCCAAAGAAGAAGAAGCTAAATTCTGAGAAAAACAACAGAGTGACTAGTTGCAAAGCCACCAGCATAGTTTCACTGGAAAACAAGATCTCAAAGGAACAGCAGATGATGGAAGAGGCTAATGGACAGCCACCGGTCACGACCAATGTGGTAGACTCGGGAGTTGAAAGCTTAAAGCCCCAGGCATTAACCAGAAGCAGATCAGCAAGGCGATCGCGAGACCTGGACCTCAACCCTGAAACTTTGTTGAATCCCACGCCATCATATACTGCACTTTTGCTGGAAGACATTCAAAATTTTCACCAGAAGAACACTCCTCCTCCCTTTTCGCTCCCAGCATGTGTCACCAAGGCCTGCTCCATTCTCGAAGCAGTCGCTGATCTCAATTCCACTACAAGCTCCAACCTTTCATGTGGATTCTCTGATGATAGAAGAAGCCCCCCAACAGTGGCTGCTGTTAATCATGTTGGGAAGAAACTACCCGAGGCAAAAGACCCATTTGTAGAATCTGAGGTACTTGGAAGCGATGATCTTATGGAGCCAAGCTTTCACAAGTATGTAACAATGAGAAGAGGAGGTACGTTATGTGGGGAAGACATGGATGGTCAAGAATCCTCTGGCAGTAACAGCTTTGTAGGTGGCAGCCAACAGCATTTAGGATTTTCCACCTCTTCATGGGAACCCAATTCAGCTGATTCAACTGATCGCTGGAATTCAAGATCCAACATGAGAGATGACGATGAGAAGAGTCCACTGGGATTTCAAAAGCATGGATTATCGGAAACAGGGCGTGATGTGGAACAGGCCAGAAGGGCATTCAGTGGCCAAAGGACTGGAATTGGACGTGGGAGATCTGGCACCAGTAAAAATTTCCACGCAACTCCTCTCCTTGCAACTGCTGCTTCCACATAATCTACTCAGTTGTGCTGTTTTCATTTTCCACGCAGTTGTGGCTTTTTCACTTTCACTTGCAAAGATTACTTTGTTGATGGTTGCAAACTTGCAACCTGTTTTCTTGTTTATTCAAAGAGATTCATTCTTCCCTTGTTCACAATATGTTCTTCCATCTAGTTGGATGCCAATTAGGGATAAAATTAGGCCATTTCGAGCAAGTATCCCCTTATAACTTTATTCATATGTAGAAATCACAAGAAGCAGCGGTATACTCCTCGTAAACTCAAAACGAGTATCTACACCAGAGGGATCTAAATACTGAATTGTGCTTCAGTTAAGAAATATATATATATATATATATATATATATGAACATCTGAAATACAACATATTCTGAACCTTTTCAATAAAAATAATTTACATCATTTCAGAACCTGAATCATGATACAATGCCCTGGAAGATGACGCCATCAGTTTTAACCATGTACATACCAAATGCTCTCGATCAATCTCCCACAAGACTAGTTAGGAAACTGATTAACCAACAAGAGGACAGTTAGTTCCTACTTCAATTTGGAACCGAACAAGAACCCTGAAACAAACAGCTCCGATAATGTGAATTGTATAGCCTAGAGAATTGAGAGAGCTCCCAACTATTCCAGCATTCTCTGAAAAACTTGTAAACCCACAGCAGACATCCCATGATCAACATTTCTTTATAAACTTTATTATTGAACTTCCTTCCACACATACATGCTTTGATCATGCCTGAATACAGTGGTAGAGCCAACCTGATGATAAAAATGGGTCTTATCTCTGTCTTCATCTTATATGGCCCCTCACTTTCACTAATAAATCACTCATTACCGTTCCGATAATTAACCATATATATTGCAACCACAGTAACAATGGCCCCAACCAGTTGCAAGGGTGAGAAAGTTTCACCAAGATATAGAAACCTGGGATCAGAAATCAAACATGAAGAAACAAATCAGACAAACACTATTAAATATAATGCATCATACATCAGTACTTGGTCCTAGCTGCTACTCAACTCATCTTTTGTCTAGTATTCTTTTCCATAAGGATTTAGTCCACGCAGCGTAATCAAACTATCAAGTCTCTCATCCATTTATTATGTTCTTCTGATTGCCGATCTTAAGATCTTCTGTCTAAGATTGTTTTGTGTACACAAGTAAATCCAGGTAATTTAATTAAGTTATATTTCCATTTCTTACGTTATTCTTGATTGACAGAACTCACCCAAAGATTGAAGCAAACATTGGGGTTAGGAATGTGAGGGAACTGAGCTTTGTCAAGCTACCTGAAAAGCATCAGCAAAGGTAGATTAGTTCGGGAAAGGACTGTCGGGTAACTTTGGACAGATTCAAAGAAATACGCAAACTTAAGTTTTAAAAGTGCAAAAAGATCATTTGAACCATGGATTATCTTACCAAATTAGTTTTATTCAACAAAAATGAAACGTAATAGACAACCAAAATGAAAAATTAAGTATAGACTTCAACCTTTTGTTGCACTGTAGAAGTACACCCCATAACTGACAGCACTTCCGAAAATAGAGGTATAAAGAAGCGCTGATATGTCACTTGCTGTCAGCTCCTTAAGACTCAAACTGAAGGCAGGATCATGGTTGAGAACAGAGATTGCGAGAAGAGGGAGACCACCAATAATCATATGCTACAAGAAAGTTTCATGCAAGTTAGTATGTCGATCTCCATTCCTTTCGATTTGAGTTCATCAACAAAACCAAAGCAAAGCAGTGGAACATCCTACAACATGTGATGCCAAATTCACAACAATCTGAATATTTGAAGATCCATTACATCCAAGTTACAATAATTCTACTATATCAATACAAACAGAGCCAAGTACATGAGCAATTCAGGAATACTTACTATCATATCTTTTTGTTGGTGAGAAAGCATTGTCTCTTCTTGCCTGTGCTGTCTATTAACTTATTAACAATTGGGAAAAAGTGGTCATCTTTGTTAGTCTTGTTGCTTGGAGCATATGGAATAGACCTTTTGATTTAAGTGGGCAACAGCGGTTAATCTTAGGGCACATGTAAAAACTGGCATCGCTTAATTTAGTGTGTTTTAAGTAGAGTAATGACCATAATATTCTTTGCAGCTATTTTTGTTTGTAATGATGAGCTGGTAGGGGCATCCCCTATGGATTTCAAGAAATTCTGGGCTTCTCAATAATCAATCTCTTTTGCAGCAGTCATTAGGGACAGAATATTATGCTGAGCTCCCTCATGCTGTTCTTCATCATGAAGCTTTTTCAAGCCGTACCCTTAGCTTATATTCAACAGAACTGGAATGTTGTTTTGTTTATATTTTTGCATTGCAAAGGATGTGTTTAGTTGTCTGCTCTCTCAATGAAATTTTCTTCCTTTATCAGAGAAAGAGAGACACTACAGAATAAGCTGATAAAATATTAAAAAAAATAAAAGAAAAGAAAAGGACTCAATTTGCAATAACCCGTGTTAATTATCAAATCATGACACAAATGATGGGCAATTTGCTGAGTAGTTCAGAATAACATACCCATCCAGTTGCCATAATAGGATCAGAGTACTTTGAAACCCAACGAACCATGACCGTGCCAACTGCCATGCTCTGAGCAGCAAGAAGCATCCACCATTCTCCACTTCCCCACAAAGAAAAATTGCTTTCATCAAATGCCAGAGTAGGTACCTGTTAAATAACAAGTGAGTAGGTTTTGGGGAAATTTGCTATATCTAAAAAAAGAATATAACAGCAAATACTTGTAATGTATCACAACATAGTAGAACAGCAAAGGGAAGCCACAAGTGGTGATTCAAGAAAGTAATAAAGATATATTTTGCTGACGCTATGTTTAGGGGGCTTACTAGGGTAGAACATTCAAGTAATGTCATCTGCATTAACTAGATTAAACAAAATAAAGTGAAAAGTAGATAATATTAAACTCAACTCAACTCAACTAACCTCTATCCCAAGCAAGTTGAATTCATTTATGTGAATCATTTTCCTCTATCCAGTTGTGTTATGAGTTAAACAATCAGTCCATTTTTGTAATATAGGTCAATCTTTACCAATTCAGATTCTCCATGTTTTTGTTTACCCCTCCCTTTCCTTGTCAATACTACTTCAATCCAACTACCCATCCAAAACATCTTACGCTACTCTTCCTAAATTTTGTTTTGATGACAGTGTCCCATACCTTCCCACACATGCACTCATTTCTTATTTGGTTCTTTCCTATGTTTCCTCACATCCACCTTAGTATTCCTGTCTCAACTATGCTCGTTTTATTAAACTTATCCTTCAATAGCACAGCAATCAACCTGCACTTCTCCATTTCAAAACACCTTGATTTGATTCTATGGGTAGCATCCTCATTGATGTTCTCTTCTTTTTATTACACAATGTGAATCTTTTAAAATATTCAACTGCTAGATCTACTTCATCCAAACTACAACTCCTCCTACACTAAAGAAATTTTAAAGCTGCAAAAGATACTTTGCATTTTGGTTCTGATCAGCTAGAAGCTTTCAGACTCTTGGCAGTCCTTCATAGATGCAACTTCAGGTTTTCCCAACTCTAGCTGCACCTAATGTAACTAATCATCAACAAATGGCATCTGCCATACTAGAGGAACATCTTCAATATCATTTATTGGCTCACTACTGACCACAAAAGAAAAGAATAAAAAGAGAGACTCAAAACTGATACTTGGTGTCATACCCAACACTCCGCACTCCTCAATTATCCCTTCATACACTAAAACAAAAACTGGTTATATGCATACTAAAAGCACCTTAGAGTACTATTGAGCTCATGCCAAATAAATAACTACAAGAATCAACTCGTACATATGTGTGACTTTTGAAAACTTTACTCCTCTTCTATGAAAATTCCTCGACTGATCAATCATGTTGGCTAATTAGCATAAACGTAAGCAGAAGTTAAGTGTTTACCTCAAGAAGTAAAAGGCCTATGACGCCAAGCACAAGGCCTGATGCTGCAGCAATCCCAATGGACTCACCAAATAACACGTTAGCAAGTAGAGCCACTGTCAGAGGCTGCGAGTCAATTATGACCTGCAGTAAGAAAGAATCCAGAAATGACACTCTGTTTTGTTATGGAGCAAGATAATAATTTAAAAGTAACTAAATTAAGTATAAAATGCGGTGAAGAAATGAACTTTGTGCGTTTGCAGGCTAAGAAAGGAACACTTAATATTCTTGAAAGATGAAATATATATATATATATTTTTTATATAAGAACAATGTTCCTCTTTGGGCATTCAATTCAATTAACAAGAACATTTTGAGTGATATCAAAATGTAGAATTCTTGAAAATTGAAATATGAAAGAAAACAAGGCAAAATAAATCAAATAAAGGAATAAATAAAAGGATTCATTCAACAAAAAGAAAAAAAAGAAAAAGAAACGTACACTACCCAAACCAGCAGAAGTCCTCTGCAATCCTTGAGCAAGAAACCCCTGTTCGAATTACAATTAATAACTTCAATAATTAATAGTAGTATTAAGAAAGCAAGAGGACTGGTGAGTGAGTGAGTGAGGAAGGGAGTGAAGACCTGAAAACACGAAGCATCAACAAGGGCGAAGAGAGTGATGGAGAGCCAAGCAGTGAGTCCAGAGGGAAGAGGGCGGCCTTTGAATCCCGCAAAGGCAACCAAAAGCAAGCCAGCTGGAATGAGGCGGAAGGAAGCAACAAAGAAAGGGCCAGTGAGGGGCAAAACCTCCTTCATTGCCACCATAGCAGTGCCCCAAAAGAAGAAAGGAGATACCAGCACTACAGTCTCCGTTATCGTCTCAATTAAGCTTTTGTTGCTGTTGCTGTTGCTGTTGCTGTTGCTGCTTCTACTTTTTGTGTTGACGACAATTGGGTGGGTGGAGGGTCGAGGTTGGCGGGTTCGGAGAAGAGGCACTCCACGTCAAGGCCTGTCCCCACGCAATCAAGGTTATTACCATCATCATCTACAGCTTGCGATGATGATGATTCCAATTCCAATTCCAATTCAGCTTTTCTACCACTAGTAGTGCAATGGGAAATGAAGTTGAAGTGTCTGCTTCTGCTTCTTTGACAAGCAGAAGAAGAAGAACAAAGGGAGAATGGACGCCGCGAAAGATGAGGAAATTTAAGAGGATAATAATAATAATCATAAGAGAAATGAGGACGAGATAAGGAATTATTATTAGGAGAAAGATAGAGGAAGGTAGAGCAGTTACTCAAAGAAGATGCAGACAACAAGCTCAACCCCCCTCCATCACCTTCCAATTTTTTTTTTTTTTTTTTTTCAATTTCGATTTTTCCAGTTCGGTATAAAACTAAAGAGACCAAAGAAACTAAGAAAGATGACAACAAGAAGAGCGAGTGGTTAGTGAGGAGTTCAGTGATAATAAACTAACAAGTGTAAACCACAGCTACACGTCACGTGGGCCTATGGATATGGATCATTATCTTCCAACTACAGTGTTTAGGCCTTTGGGCCAACTTCCTCTTACCCTTCACCGTCCATCTATCGCAATCAATAGTCATACAAGTGAGCTTTAGCCATCTATCGCAAGCAACCATCTACAGGCCCATCAAGTCAAGCAGCCCAATGTTCAAAAAAAAAAAAAAAAAAACCTTAGGGAAGGAAAGGGAAGGGAATCGGCCACCTTCATACTAGTCGTCATTAATGCTAGGTAAGACAACGTGGAGAACTAATAAGTAAATATACGGTAGGAGGAGGAGTTGGAATGTATGGTGGATTCAAGAACCGATTGATAAGGCGGATAGCTAGAGCATTTAAGTTTTAATTTAATTAATCACTAGACTAAATAGCTAGAGTTGCAAAAATTTAGATGGAGTATCATACTAAATTAGTTCAAGAACATCATTACTATTTTTTTTTTTTGGGCCGGGTAACAAGATCATCTTTAATTGGTGCACGAATTCTGGACTATATAAATATAAATATTGGTGGGAATTGGAAATAATTAAAGTCTATAGATCCATGCATCATGATCAGAGCACATGATATCTGAAAACTATTCTGGTGCTACTTCAACTCTGGCAGGAAGATCCCGAGACGGCACATGGCATGGATTCAAGCCTTAGGTCTCAGGTTGGACTCCCACTAGCTCATTCACTTTGGCAGCAAACAAGGTGGCCCAAATGGGATGACCAAGTCTACCAACCTATGATGGCATATCGATCATTCAGCATTCCTCAAGGTCACCTCTCTACTTGGACAAGTCCTGACCTGAATAATAATATTTTGGTAGCGTTACTGTTACATTGCGCGGTGCTGTTGAGATATCTGTGAGCGTTTGGAAGATGACCACATACACAAGTATGAAATAACATCCGATGATTGTTTTGCACATTTGGAAGTGCAATTCAAGTTTTTCAATCTGTCAGAGAAGGTGGAAGGTGTATTAGGACAGACATATCGTCCGGATTTTCAAAATCCAGTAAAGAGAGGGGTTCCAAAGCCAATCATGGGTGGGGAGAGCAAGTACAAGACCTCTTCTCTTGTATCCGCAGATTGTAAACACTGCATTTTCTCATCATCATCAAAATCTAAATATGCAACTAAACAATTGGTATTCAATACCAATTCCACTTTGGATTGCACTAGCAATTTCAGTAATGGCAATGGAGTGGTAGTTGTTTGTCGCCGATAGAGTCTGGAGATCAGATCCCTTAATATACGTTCTGTTATTATTTGAATGCTTTTTTCTTAATTAATGGTCTATGTTAATTTTTTGTCATGGATTATTTTTTTTTATTTTTTTTCCTTAGTGATTCCTCTTTTATTGTAGGCTTAAAAGGAAAAAATATATACATATTATAGGTTAATCCGTGAACATAATTTTTAGAAAATTGACAACAAAGAAAAAATTAGAAAAGAACGACCCAAGCCACGCTGTGGACTAAGTATTTATTTATTTATAGCAATAAGATTCTAACATTATATATATATATATATATATTATAAGTTAATCCAGTTACACCCTAATAATAAGAACACATGATCTGTCATGCCCTCCAACCATTAAAAATTTATTATGGTTAAATTAACAAGCCACCATTAATTTTATATAGTTTTTTAATGTTGTCTAATTGGCTTGTATCTCACAATATTTAGAATAGTTTAAGAATAATTTTGAATTATGAAAGTATAATTTATTATTTTTACCAACATAATCGTACATTACATCAATAAAATAACGTATTAAATTAGTGAATAAGTTTGGTTTAATTAGGTGATTAAAGAGGGGGCATTAGGTAAATTAATCTGCAAGATTAGAATCGATCAATTAATATTTAGTGTTCGATTTAATTGATCACGCGGCATTGAGGAAGTTTCCATGAGCAGTGAATGGAAGTTTGTATTTGTCATTGACCCAGTCCGCCAATATCATCATCATTTCCAGGTGACATGTATCGTACTTGGCTAGATTGATGACATAACTCGTTTCTATAATTGCACAAGTTATCATACGTCCCGGCGGTTGGCCGCCACTACTTCCATATGATTCGATCTAGAAATAAATAAATAATATATGATATTTAGCAAGTTTAACAATTTAAGTATGGATGGAATGCACGCTAGCTACCTTATTACCATCTGTTCTATCCTACTCAAGTTGTAATTAAAGAAGTTTCTTTTGTTGACTATTGGGAGCCTCACTTGACTGTCATTGCTGCCTATATATTATTGTCAGCCGAAGGTTCCGATAGATGCTCACCTTTGGATAAAAAAATGGGAAAAATGAGGAGCATCCGGTTGAATTTGGACACAAAAAACGCGTGGTTGAATTCTGGATGCATGAAGAAAACCATATATATATATATATATGAATAGAAATGGAGGCATGTGACGCATGCACATGAGTAAGAAGTACTCCTTCCCCCAAACAAATTAAAACCTGCAGCTTTGAAATAACTAATAGGGACATATCAACTAAACCTCCTCTATCTAAGTCAAAGAAGGGAAGCCTCCTTCATTATCAACCAGACATATAGTATCTATCTAACTTCACACACACACACCACATATGTTCACACGCATTAATATGATCATGACCTAATCAATTATATCAAATACGAACTAGTCCAAGTCTTAATTTGTGTGTGTGTGTGTGTGTATATATATATATATATATATCCACACCTTTGATAATTTTGAACAAACCATCCATCAAACCGATATGGCAGATCATCAGAAAGTTCATCCTCTGAATACGAGTAGTAGCCATGATCATCAACGATCAGATGTTGAAGCACCACAGGCTCCCACAGTTCCATTAGTTCCCCGAGGCTCCTCCAAGTCTGATAATGGCGATCCATCTTCACATGACCAGCAGTACTACCCACCTTTTCAGCGCACAATCCCGGTCAGTCACACTAAACCACCTAAGAAGAGAAGAAGCTGTTTTTGCAGATTCTTGTGTTGTACACTTTCTTTTATTTTCCTCCTCCTCCTTGTCCTTGGACTTGTTTCTGGAATCCTTTACCTCGTCTTCAAACCTAAAATCCCCAAGTTCTCCATCGATAGCTTGCAAATTACCCGATTCAATCTCTCTAACAATTCCAGCTTATCTGCCGCCTTCGATGTCACCATCACTGCTAGGAATCCCAACAAGAAAGTGGGCATCTACTACGAGGGAGGGAGCCATATAAGTGTGTGGTACACAGGCACAAATCTATGTCAAGGTTCGCTGCCAAAATTCTACCAGGGTCACAGAAACACCACCGTGCTTAATGTGTTGTTATCAGGACAAACAAATGATGGCAATACATTGCTCACTTCATTGCAACAGCAACAGCAGCAGACTGGAATCATTCCTCTGAACCTCAGGGCTACCCAGCCTGTGAGAATCAAGCTTGGCAAGTTGAAGCTCATGAAGGTGAAGTTTAGGGTCAGATGCAAGCTAGATGTCGACAGCTTAGCTGCCAATAACGCCATTAATATTAGAAATAGTAGCTGTAAGTTTAGGTTTAGGCTATAAATTAACATTTTTTTATTTCATATTTTTATTTTATTTTGATCAGGCTACATGCATTATGCCCATGGGCCATTGATCAAAAAGTCCTTTTTTTTTTTTTTTTTTTAACAATTTTTCCTACCCAGGGCTGGAGGATTATATTTATGTCATTTTTTCCTCCATGCCTTTATACTGCTATGTATTATTTTCAGTGCTGCATTTATTCTGAATCATTATATGTTTACATTAACTAGTTTTGTTGTTACCTGTGGTCATTTATAAACAAAATAATATGTTGCTTCAAAATAAACTATAAGGTGAAAAACACTATTATTGATAAGTTATTGATCCAATAGTAGTAGAATTATATAGTTTTTAATATTTAGACAAGTGAAATAATATATAAGAAACTATTTACAAATAATCAAGTTTTAATAAATATTTATTTTTTTTATAATTGATATTACACAAATACTCAGTTAAGCATCCATGTATAGTATTTCTATTGAATGACTTCTACAACTTAGTTTTCTAATCAAATTTTTAAAGTATATTTATTTTATTATTAACAAAAAGCCAAAAAAAAAAAAAATGCTCAACTTTTTACTATATCAATGACATTGTATCTTTCAAGTTTCAAGTGTGATGCGAAATTCTTATAATTTTATCAGTAATGATTGTTAAAATATTTAAAAACAACCTCAATTTAATAGATAGAAAAATATTTTTTTTTATTCTATCCATTAACGTCAAATGCGATAATATATACATTTTTACTCATTGAAAAAAAATTTACATTTAGTATCAACAAATTTCATAATTTACACTTTTATTAGTAAAAGAATCACTACCGAGATAAATGGGATTTAGCGACGGGCAAACCCGTCGCTAAAACAAAAAAATCGTTGCTAAAACGTTTTAGCAACGAGTTTAGCGACGGTCAAGTAACCGTCGCTAAAAACCTCATCGGTGTTTTTTAGCGACGGTCTAAAACGTTGCTATTCCATCGCTAAATGTCGATGTAAACGAGTAAGGACATTAGTGACGGTTCAGTAAACCCTTGGTATGACCGTTGCTAAATAGCGACGGATTAGCAACGGTCCGGACCGTTGCTAAATTGTTGGCAACGGTCAATTTGGTAACGGTGCGAGACCATTGGTAATATTTTATTTTTGGCGACGGTCTAGACCGTTTCTAAGACCGTCGCTAATTGAAAAAATAAATTTATTTAAAAAAATAATGAAATGAGTTCAAAGTAACAATTTTAAAGTAGCAAAAATCTCATAAAATATCGTAAATATAAATTTTTATTATTCAAAATGTATTAAAACGTCGCTAAACAATTACATTATTGTTAAATAAAAAACAAGTACATCAATTGCGAGTTAATACAAGAAAACATAAAATCTAAAATAAGTTAATGTCTAGGATCGGTCGGAGGTCAGGTCGAGTCGTTGTCGGTCTCGGGAACGACGGATGAACTACCACCACGCTCAAAGTGCTGCATGAACATCTGTTGCATCCGTGACATCATCGTAAACTCGCTCTCGACTATTGTTTCTCAACTCGATCGTTGTATCCAACAACGATGCCACTTGGCCCTATAGGTCGCTCACGATACCCTCTAAGTTGTGGATGTGCGTCGTGTTTGCGGATGTTTGCTCTTGAATTTCCTTCAACTATGCCTCGTCAATTGCATTGAATGCGGAAGTAGCGGAAGATGAGCCTGCATTGACATTTGAATAATAGTGAGATGCATGTGAGCCGAGTCCGTACATCCTCTTCCTCCTACTATCTCCTCCACCAACGGCCCTTTGAAAGATGCCATTAATGTCGGATGCGGTCGCTTCGGTCCCTCCCGATCGTTAGCTAGCAACCTCTTCCTCATTAATTAATCTTTGTACGGTCTTCCGTATAATTATGAAACACGTCACATCAATACGGTTATCAAATAACATTATTAACTAACGGATATTAAATAATGTTTCAAAGTTATCACTTACTCCGATAACCCTCGATCGTTGATCGACGAAGACTAACCGATCATTAACCTTTCTATGATGAGTCCTTAAGAAAACCTCATGAGGATCGGGTTCACGACCCAACACATTACGCCGAAAACAAATATAAATAAACGTAAATGTATTAAATATAGTCGGATGTTTAATTAATTATTTTGGGTATTATTTTTAAAAAAATTCTAAATAAATTAAATAATATATATTTTTTACCATGCGTATGGCGTGCTCTCTATGGCTGATTGATCCCCCGTATGTCTAGAAGGACCGGCTCCGACTCCACTAGTCTCACTCCCACGGTTCCGTGTCTGCCATCTCGGATCGAGCAACGACCTCGGGTTTCGTCCATTCCGTAGTCCATGCATCCCATATTTCCTATGAGATATATGCTAGCTTCGGTTTTTTCCTTAGACGACAAAGGAAGTCGAATATCGCTTCCATACGAGACTTTCTCATGCTTTCTTAACTATGCTCTCGTTCAAATCATCATCCCGCTTAAATGATTTCTACCAAAAAATAATAATAATATACACTACTAACTTTACTTTCATATTATTTTATAAAATTTAATTAAATATTAAATAATATAATTAATCTAATAAAATTTAGAAATTAGAACCTTCAATTCTTCCCGGTAAAAATCTTTTATCTCCGGACTCATTTTTTTCCACATCCATCCCGAAGAATAAACGTACTCTTGGAATGTTTAACGATCGAGCGAGAGCAAACATCGGAGGGATACAACCTACAAAAAAATAAACATTAATTAAATTCATAAATAACGGACTATATAATAACGGTAACCAAAATTTTTTTTAATTAAATGAAGCATAAACCGTACTCATTGTGCCCAACAACAATGACCCGTACTCGATGGTCAACCGCGGATGTTATTGGTTACGAAGCGATTGACGCGAGACATTATGGGGTGGAACGTGTTAAGGAACGGAACGGTCGTCCGATGTGATGATGAAGGCATCGACGATGACGACGGAAAAGATGAGGGAGGTTGATGTGGAGGTTCAAAAGGCTGCGGCTGAGACACGACGGGCATGGAACGGGATGTGGAGGGGCCACCGGAAGAGTGGTACGAAGGCATGTCCGGTGGGGGATCCATCCGACCGTGAGCGAAATAAGAAGGGTGTCTACGACGTCCACGATCACCGTCGGACTAATCGGTATCCGAACCACGACCCCTACCTCGAGTCATTATGACCTACGTACATATTAATTATTAAAGTCAATAATTGTTAAATAAAATATGAATTATATAATGCATATATACTTACATATAACATTCAAATTAATATGAACTAATTGATTTATACTAAACAACAATAAATCATAAATATTTATTTAATTAAATCTTACCTTTAAAAATTATATGTTAACTATGTAAGTAAACATATGAATAAACCTAATTTTTTTCTAAAATTATGACAAAACGAGGGACGGTACCACGGCGATTTATTAAAATAGTTTGAAAAATTACGCTTAGGGGACAAAACCAGCCTATCCTAACATCACGGGAGGACAAGGTTGCCTAAACCCTTAAATTTGAACAACAATTACATAAAATCCAAGTGCATAATTTATGAATTGAATAAAAAATACAATATAACATAATTCAATGGGATATATCATATTATCTCTAATCACTATCATTATAATCATTGTCACATTCTTCATCTAAGTCTTCTTCAACATCGGTTTCTAACTCCGATTCATTCCGAATATCTATTTTATCACCATCCAATTCTAATAATGCTCCGATAGGATCAATCAATGAGTCGACCTTCATCATCATCAATGTGCATGACATTGTGTTGACCTTCATTTCATTTTCTTGAAAGGGTTCGATATTGGTTTGATCGACGGTAACGGACATTTACGGCACATCAACCGTAGGCCTTGGCTTAACCTTACATACCGTCAACCAATCTCGTCGTATGCGTTTACATGTAGGATATGTCATATAATACACTCGATGCGCTTGTGATCCTAGTATGAATGGATCGGATCTATTTGAATACCTACGACTATGAACCTCAACTAGTCCATAATGATCATGAACTCGTGTACCGGTACCGTGTGTTGTATCATACCACTCACATTTGAACAAAACTCGTTTTCTTTATTGGTAAGGCTGGATACTCAAGTTCGAGTATGTCAATCAACCTACCGTAGTAGTCATTTTCCACCTCACCGTAGTTAACTCTTTTAACACACACTCCACTACACATTGATGCTCTCTCCGAACCATCAACATCGGTATGAAACTTATATCCATTTATAATGTACCCCGCATACGACTTCGTAGTTCGTAATGGTCCTTTGGCTAAATTTTTAATATAATGATCTGTTATAGTTTTGGGTTGTGCTCGGCTTGCTCGTATGTAAGGACCGAGTTACTTATAAGGTAATGTAATAATAAAATTTGATAAAATAAATTTATGAATATTTAATAATAATCTTGACAAGCATAAATACTCACATATCGATGGAACCATAATGCAAATTGGTTTTGAAGTCGAAAATCAACCTCGTTTTTCGATATGTCGGGGTCACTTTCATAAAGTTGACTAATAAAATATTTGACGATAAAAATATTGTTATTATATGTTCTTAAATTGAATGGTTGTTAATGAATAAATGTATAGTAATAATATTTGATAGTAATAAAACTTACTCCGTGTACGAGTGTCACCTCATCACGGTTCAATAGAATGTAAGTGTGCGCCGCATTCTTTTCTTGATCCGTCGGGACATGTGATCGTGCTCGACCAAGAGGTTTACCTTTAGCAATGAATATTGCTAACATGCCTTTAATATTTTCATTCGGTTCTCGATCACGAGTCAAAGTTTCTAGACACTTTTCGATGTCTAGTGTGTACATGAGGCTCGAAATAATATAAACAGAACATTGAAGCTTCCTCAACTAAATATGTATTGCATATTGACCCTTCGACTACGGTTTTGTTTT